ACTCTACACGGTAAAGTTTGCACAAAACTGCATTGAATATCAAGCATCAGCGATCTAACCAATCAGAGCTAGGGGACTTAACCAGAGGCAGTTCCGAGAAGTACTTGAAGGTGTGGAAACAAAACATTCCGATGTTTGGTACCACAGTGTCCGCTGAGTTAGCGTAGGCAAGGTATCGAGAAGAAAATGGGATCTCAAGGAAGACATTGGTATGCTCTTTAAGGCACATAGACTGTGACTTTGTTACTAATATTTCTAAGAAATAGTGAAGATAGACTTCATGTTTTTCATTGAGAATCTTGAAATGGGTTGCTCGCACATAAAACGTATGTACATCTTTCCAAAGAAAACTTTTCCATTTCTCTAGGCAAGCAAGTGAAAACAGATTTAATTATTTTCCTTTGCTGAAAGGTTTCTAGTAAAATGGTAGAAAAGTACAAGACTTGTTGATTTTGCAATGCAAATTTTAAGACATTAAGGTCTTGAAACCAGTTTTCAATATCCTCACTTCACCATTTAGTACAGAAGCTGATTCCAAATACCTCAAAGCAAATTACGACATTCTACGGGAGTTTTATAGGTGCCAGAAGCTGTATTTCCACACTTTAAAAGAATTGATGCTAAATTTTTACATTGTTTGGGTCCACATAAATCGTGAACAAGCATTTTTTTTTGTTTAAAAAAAAATACAAGTGTAAGAACAACTCGATGCTGACAGACTGTAATTTGACAGCAGTCACAATAATAACAACTAGTTAGCTAGTTCCACCACAGTTCCGTTACCTTATGCCCGAGTGTAAAATTAAACATTTTACATTAAGTACAAAACAGTGTATAATTGTTGTGATGTAAAAAGGCAATAACAAAATTGTATAAAATATTCGTAAAATTTGTTTCAGAAATCGCTAAATCTTGTTGTTATTACTCAATTGGTAGTGTAAAAAAAAGTTGTAAATACATATTATATATATGCGGCCCCCAATTCCTAAAATTTTTTTAATGATAGAAAAAAGGTTGCCCACCCCTGGTCTAGAACATTGAGATTGCTTCTCATGTCGTAAAGCCGGGAGAGTCCCGAGATACGAGGAAAGGAATCGGCCAGCATGAAAGAACGCAGAGCCAACAGAATGCTGAGAGAAGAAGCAGGCCTATCTGCAGTTGACCCAATTCACCCATGCCACGTATGCGGACGGCTTTTTAAAGCGAGGTTTGGACTTAACAGTCATCTTGGTGTTCATATGAAATGAGAGACGTGCTCATCTTGGAGCTATATATACATACCACATACCACTGAGCAGACTCTAACCGCATGGTAAAGTCTATTTAACACCCTCTTCATTCGCACAGTCACTACCAGACTAGCATACGTTAAAGTGTTGTTCAAACTTACCACGCTTCCTTCATCGTTGTAATACATTCTCCTGGCGTTTCCAGCGCAGAACTCTCATCTTTGTAAGGGCAAGAACCCAAATAAAATAAAAAGGGCTGGAAAGATAACTCTTTTATTTTTAAATCAGTTTCTTCTTGACCGCCTTCAGTCGTAGAACGACTTTGGTTCATCTCGCACACTTCCTCATGTGGCTGTGGAGCCGTATTTTGGAGAGACACTCCCGTCCACAAATATCGCAGGTCAAGGTGGCTTTTGCTTCAGTGGTAGAGGAGCTGGCCATTTTTCGTATTGTACGTTTTTCATCCTGAGCTGAGACCCATGTTGTTTCACTGTCCATAGCTTTCATGGTCACTGTCTCTCTCCACCTGGTGCTGTCTAGAGCTATGTCTTTCCAATGGTCAGTATTGATGTTCACTGATTTGAGGTCCCGTTTTATTACATCTATGTCACGGAGGTGGGGGCGACCAGTTTTCCTTGAGTCAGTCGCGAGTTGTCCGTAGAGGATGACTCTCGGGATGCGATTGTCCTCCATTCGGCAAACATGTCCAAGCCAGCGCAAATTAGTTATGAAATCGGTAACGGAGCGTCAAAGCACTTGGCTTCTGGGTCCCGGGTTCGAATCCTGGTGAAGGCTGGGATTTTTAATTTCGGGATCTTTGGGTGCCTCTGAGTCCACCCAGCTCTAATGGGTACCTGACAATAGTTGGGGAAAAGTAAAAGCGGTTGGTCGTTGTGCTGGCCACATGACACCTTCGTTAACCGTAGGCCGCAGAACAGATGACCTTTACATCATCTGCCCTATAGACCACAAGGTCTGAAAGGGGAACTTTACTTAACTATACTTTAACTTTACTTAGTTCAAAAAGATACAGATTATTTTTTTTTAGGCGTTCTAGTGGTCGAGAAACGCTGCAGTATGTTAAAACGATACTTATATGTTCTAAAAACTCACTTCTGCTCTGTTTCTAGGTGATGGTACAGTGACTCGGCAAGAACTGGTTCGCTTCTTCACACTGGTAATACATCTATCGAGTTATAGACTTAATCTTAAGCTACCAGGGGGGTGGCTAGTGATGAAAAGGGAACCAAGAGGCCCAGGCATTCCACTTCTTCCGTTTCAATAAAACCGTATTTCAAAAAGCCATTAATTAAAAAACTTTATAAAACAATTTGTTCAATATTTTATATATTTTCCCCGATTTAGCCCAAAACGCACAGAAGGAAACACTAGCTACGCCCCTGGAAGTTTTAAATTCCTTATATTAGATCTTATTTATTCTTCTATTTGAATAAAATTTGAGTTCAGTCTTGAGATGTTGACACTGCTTGTTTACTTTTGGTTCAGCAGTGCTGTGGTGACGCCACCAATGACGTGTACGCCGCTCTATCGAAGTGAATCATTTCGGTCTTAATACACTATTTTCTTTCGGCTCTATTTACTGTCACTCTTTACTTGAGCTAACCCCGACACACACACACAATCATACACGCAAACATTTGAGTAAAGCTGTCCCAGAATCCCCCCCCCCCCCTTCCCTCACCGTAACACAAGTAGGGGCTACACTTTTATTGGATTGCAAAAGTAACAAAAGAAAACGCTATGAGCATAAAACTAATCAAATTCTTTCCTAATTTTCTCTGGATTAGAACTAGATTTATTCTTTGAGCTAATAATAGAACTAGATCCAGATCGAAGACAACTTTCTAATTCTAATTCCTATTCAACATTCAGATTTTTTATCACGCGTATCTACAGTTTAACCGGCTATAGTCTAGATCTACTTATTGACATAAGGAATGGTGTATTGTTTAACGGAGGCGCTGTGGCTAAGGGGTAAAGCGCTTGGCTTTTAAACCGGGGGGTCCTGGGTTCAAACCCTGGTGAAGACTGGGAATTTTAATTTCGGGATCTTGAGTGCCTGTGAAGAAACAAGTCCCTTTACGTTCAAAATGCCTTTTAATTGTGAAGCATTTCAACAAAACATACATACACGGCAGACATTATATACAGATAACCAACTCCACTAGCTGACTTCCTCTCTTCTTGTTTACACACTCGTCACTTCCCTAAGTCCCCTAACTCCCGATACCTAACACTTGACCGTGTGTCACGGTTGACCACACAGTAACCGTGTCACAACAGTGCCTCTGAGTCTACCCAGCTTTAATGTGTACCTGACATTAGCTGTGGAAAAAAATAACGGTGGTTGGTCGTTGTGCTGGCCACATGACACCCTTGTCAACCGTAGGCCCCAGAAACAGATATTCTATAGACCACAAGCTCTGAAAAGGGAACTTTACTTTTACTAATTACACGTGAATCTCATTAACTCATTGATGCTGTACGAAATCCGACAAACTGTAGAATCTAATTCATAAATGTTCTTTGTTAAATCTTAAAAGAAATAATAGCTTTATTTGTTACAAAGCTTATATTAACTCTCTCCCGTCTGTCTTGTTCAATGTTTGTACTCGTTATTCGTTATTTCTCCCATAGCCAAGTTCGGATCAAGTTGAAATTTTGCAAAATTATTTCTTGTACCTGACAAAACTAGAATTAAATTAAAAAAAAAATCAATTATTTAATTGAGTATTAGTAATTAGTTATTTTATTTGGTATCAAACAAGGGAAAGAAATTGTACTTGACAGATGTTATTCTTACATACTTTGTGTATAGAATCATGTCGTCACTTAAAAGTTCGAAACTAACAATCGATAGCTATGAAACCTATTTTCATAAGCGCTTCGCTGGCACAGTGGTTAGTATGTTGGCTTGAGGAGACTTGAACTTTCGAGTTCAGATTCAAGCCGTACTTTTTTTTTTATTAAGCACATGTAGAAAGCTATCATGGTAATTTTCACCTTCACTAAGATACCCTATTCTTTCTCCCCCCCCCCCCTTTACAACTGGCCCAGACATGTGATAGAATCATAACGCATTGAGAAAGCCTTAATCATGATATTGCGCTAAACAAAATCAATTGTTAAAATATTTTCAATCAAACAGATGTATTACTGTTAGTCTTGATCTATTACAAATTACATTACATGACCGATCCAAACTAATTCATACAACTATGTGTAATATTGTCATAGTGTATGGCATTATTTTTCTACACTTTTCTTGTTTGTTTTTAATTAACGTCTTGTATGAGTTAGAACAGGTATATGGATGTCTGCATGTTTTGTAGTGAAATAGTGAACTCAACTTTGAACCAATGTGTATGCTTACAGCAAAATCTCAAAGCCTCTGGATTAAGTGTTCAAGCCGAGACTCTTGACTTCACAGGCAACAATCGATCACATCGGATGATTGGTGGATTCGTGATTGTGTTGATTGTAGCGCTCCAGTCAGGATTGATCATACTGTAATACTGAAAAAATACATTTTATGTAGACCTATGTTGTGCTCTTAATGGAATACTAAGAAATCAAACGTCATATTTATTTTTAGATTTGGACTCAAAAAAAATAATTCTTTGTTGGGTGGGTGTGGGATGGTTCAGAGAGAGAGTGAGAGAGAGAGAAGGAAATTAGGTTTGTTGATGTTCTATATATGATGTGATAATTGTGGTATTTGTGATGCGATGTTTTGTGATGTAGTGTTTGTGATATGGTATAATGCTAATGATGAGATGTTGTATTTCTTTTATTCTTGTTGATGTTCTATTTGTGATGTAATAATTGTGGTGTTTCTATTGTGATGCTGTGTTTGTGATGTGATGTGGTATTTGTGATGTGATGTTGTTGATGCAATGTTATGTTTGTGGTGTGATATAGTGTTTGTGATGTGATGTTTTTGATGAAATGTTTTGTTTGTGATGTGAAGTGACTTGGTGTTTGCGATGTCATACGGTGTTTGTGATGTAGTGTTTGTGGTGTGATATGTTTATGATGTAATTTGGTGTTTGTGATGTGGTGTTTTTGATGTGATATGTTTGTGATGTAATTTGGTGTTTGTGGTGTGATGTTTGTGATGTGATATGTTTGTGATGTTTGTTGGGTGATCTTAGTATAATATACTTACACTATTAATATATTGATTTTTCAAAAAGCCTAACAGTTCCAATGTTTATATCAACATTCTGTTTATCCTAGTTAAGCAACTTTATTCTATTCAACTCTATTGTACGTTTAATTTAAAGAAACAATAACAAGTAATGAGTCTATTTCTATATTTAATTTTCAAATGTAAAAAAAAAACTATTTATTTATAGCATTCTCTTTTGAGCTTTAATAAAACGTCTTCAAACACTTGTTTCTTTTTTAAGATTACTTCCCTTTTCTCATCTAACTTGTCTGTTTTATTTAGCATACATAATGGCTTAACAGAGTCACTATAAAGATCAATTAAGTAGCTGACCGTAGATAGTCTCTAAAAGGGACGGATGGAGAGCTCTCAAGAAAGTGTCCGGGCCAGGCGGACATTTAAGACTCGAAGAATTATTAACGACCAGTTGGACAAATTGATGTCAGAGCTAAAACACGAATCATCTTCTAATCGGTACGTGACGTTTTGGCCCCGCCGTTTTGTCGACGGGACGTTTTGGTGCGAGATATCATTTGACGATAATTTAATAGGCACGTAGCTTTTTTTAAATGAACCCTTGAATTCCAGCGACTTAGGCAAATAACCATGGTATTTATGTATACTTAACTTAGTCTTTTGAGAAACATGGTACATGAATTATATTTTTACTTATTATCAGCAAGTGTTTGGTATGTATAGCTGGAGATACCATACAGTCATTAAATAAATCAATGTTAATGTAAACAAATAATTGCATCAATTTTTAGTCTATCATCGTTTCATTTTGTTTTTATTTTTAAAGTAATAGCTTAAAAAACTTTTTTCAAACTAAAAGTGTGCCTCTTAATAAACAAACAAACACAAGCCAAAATGTTTATTAAAGAAAATGATGTGAAAAACAAACACACATTTACATTTAGTTCGGGAAAAATATGTCTTAACACAAACACTCATGCAAAACATAGATATGAATAATTCTTTTAAAAGAAATAATACAATAAACATACATAATGTATTTCGCGCCAAAGCGTCCCGTCAAAAAAAAGGCTCGCGCCAAAACGGCGGCGCCAAAACGTCCTACTTCGTTTTCTAATCAATCTTGCTGTTTCCACAATGTATAAATATGTGCTTCTTAAATTGTGTAGGCTTTGTGAAACAATGTGAGGCATCCATCATGCGCTAGGTATTTCTTTGTGGAAAGTGGCTTGCTCAGGCCTTAATCATGCGTTAGGTCATATATCTTATCTTATATTTAACTTATAAAATACAGACGTTACTTCAAAAAAAAAATAAATAAAGGATTTCGTCCTACGCCTGTTCCTAGTCATGCCCTTTAACCAATGACTTAAATCCTGCCAAATCATTAGTTTTCCTGGCTGGCTCAGGCACTCCATTCCATGCTCTAATAGGATATGCCTTGGGGCTTAGTACTCTGATATGGCTGTTGACAGCAGAGTGCATTCATATGTGGAAAAAAATGTGCGTCACAAATGGGTTTGCATAACAGTGCGGTTATTCTTAATCCACGAAATCGAAGACATTGCCATTCTTCTCTTATCTTATTTCAGACGTTACTTCTAAAAATAAGCTAACTTCACGTGTCAATCTAGTCATGCATGACTCAAACTCTGCTAAGCCATTGGTTTTCCTAGCTGATTCAGGCAACCCATTCCATTCTATATTGACACTAGGGAAGAAAGAGCAATTGTACGAATTTATTATTATAAATATTCGCATATGCATTCTTATTATTTTTTTTAAAACAAAATAAAACGTTATCGGTAAAGCTTTAATATCTAAGACACAGTGTTACGAAGTGTGTTTTTATTGGTTGATGAATTCTGATGTAATCATGTGTAAAAGTGTGAAAAGCTGATGAAAGTCAGAGACGAGAGAACATTGCGGGGCTGAAAAGACTTCAATTATTTGATTTAAATTTCTCGACAGCTTATCTGAAGGCTGAGCTGGTTTGGTCATATTGAAAGACACTGACTAACTCAAAAAAAAGTCATGGTTCTTCTTATCTTATCTTATAAAATACAGACGTTACTTCAAAAAGAAGACGACAACGTCTTACGCGTCATGCATTTAGTCATGCATGTTAACCAGGTACAGTGGAGGGAGCCACAAAGGAAAAGGTCAACGTAAAACAATGGGACCGGCTTGTCCCCCCTCTCTCTTGACAGCTGCTGACTGGGAAAAGTGGAGGGGTTTGGTTAGGTGAACTGACACAGCACCCCCTACCAGGTCCGGCCTTAGGCATAGACAAACTAGGCAGCTGATTGGTTGGCGCCTCGAACATGACCGTAAACCTTCTTTTAAGTAAAAAATAGCGAACTTTGGGTCCAGCGTTATTGTTGGAGTCACGTGATTGGGATGCGTTTCTATGTACATCCACAATGACGTTGAAAGCTGTAAATTAAAAAAAAAAAATTATTTATTGTCCGTAAAAGTTTTGGGATGTGTGGTCAAGAGGCCGAAACCGCTACGGCTCGGTCATCTAACAATGGGGCTCTAATTCCGACTCGGGCTTAGCGCCTATAGGCAGGCCGCATGGGAACTTTCTCTCAGATACCCCTTCCCCCCACTGGTCCACTAATGAGATTGGACCATTGTGCTCTGAGCATGCTGTTTGCATGAAAGATGCGTAATATAAAAGCAATTAAAACAAAAAAGTTTAGTATTTTAAAAAAGAAGTTGGTCCAAGTTTTTTACATTTCTACAACGGACCATACGGACTAACACAGAAAGATTTAAAAACTCCTTTATCCCACTTTTGGTCAGAGTGTTACAAGGACATCTGTCGTCATCGAAAAGTACATAGAAGTAAAATTCATAAAGCGCTGGTTGCGAGTGTGTATGTGTTTTCGTGTGTGAATGCTGTTCGTATTTGCATCTATATTGTTATTGTACAGTAGTTACGCTGAGGTGGTAAATTGTAGTCAAACTAATTTTCCATTCGATTGGATCAATAAAAATTATCTTATCTTATCTTAACTAGACTTATTGAAACTCAACTACGTCATGTAACAGCAAACCACAAACAAACAAACAAAAGCAAGCAAAATTAATAAATAAAAAAACAAATATTAAGTGTATCAATTAGTTTGGATCAGTCTTGTAATTAAATTTGTAATAGGTATCAATCCATAAGGGGGACTAATTCAGCATATACCACCAAGTACTATCTCTCTCCCTTGGAAAGAAACTAATTCCGAGATTGGGTGTCGGAGAAATAACGTGTACAAACTTTTAGCCAGACAGACACACAGACAGACAGAGTTGCTATAAACTTTGTTATAAATTTAAAAAAATATTAACAAATAATAAGACATATATATATATATATATATATATATATATATATATATATATATATATATATATATATATATATATATATGCCAATAATTGTTTGTAAACAATGTCACTTCCTGTTCGTTGAAGCCATGTCACTCATCATTATTATTGTTATGGAGTGTCTGTGTGTGCTTGGTGTCTGATGTAACATTCAGTAGGATTACGACATGCGCGGGAGAAGAATGTGAACGACTGTGGGAAGAGTGACGACAGCCTGGAGCCATGTGTGTTTGCAGGATTCAAGAGGGGGGTGAAGTATTTTCAAAATCATTTAACATCTTGTAATTATAATAGTGTTTAAATGAATACATCTTTTGGGGCGTTTGCCCTTTGGTTTGCAAGGTCTTTGAGTGATTTGCTTGTTAAAAGTTTTATTCCAACTCTATAGTATTATTAAAAATTAAGATTGTAAGTAAGTTGGACTATAAACTATAGCTAGAGCCCAAAAATTGCCAAAAATTATTTTTACAACCTTCGTATTACAAATTTAAAAAAAGATATCATTATATATTTTGTAATATTCTTTTAAAATAGGTGTACTTTTATGTGAATTTTTTTTTGGGTTGGCAAATTTAATATTCCACCTTCATCCTCCAACCCTTTTTTGTTAGGACTTTGAGGAAGCTTCCACTTGGTTACAAAAATTGAAATTTGATGTTAAACAAACACAAAAATACGAGATCACAAAGAGAGTTTGTGTTATCATACAAACTCTCTATGTGTTCTCGTTTTTTTGTGTTTGTCAAAGGCAGCCCCCAACGAAGTCACCAATCTAAACCTGGCAGGCGGAATATGGCTTCCTGTTCGTGTGGTATGCGCACTGAGGTGTCTGTGTTGGTCAATGGTCTCGATGGTCCTGGATTTGAACCCTGTCCTCTGCCAGCGCTCGTCGTCCGGTAGAAGGCTTGGGCTAGGATGTAATTCTCTTCAAAGTGAAAGGAAGATTCGAAACATGACAAAAACATTTGAGAAACATATGAGGGCCATGAAGACATGGTAAAGCATTTGAGAAACATATGAGGGCCATGAAGATGTGTCCAACATTTGAGAAACATATGAGGGCCATGACGATGTGTCAAACATTCTACAAACATACGAGGGCCATGAAGATGTGTCAAACATTCTACAAACATATGAGGGCCATGAAAACATGTCAGTCATAGAAACTGAAAGACAATTGCTAATATTTTTGTTGATAGTCTGACCACAAGTCTTATTAGGTCAGTACAGAATGTAAAATATTCCCCTTTAAGACCTTTCCTTTTATGACCGATGGCAACGAGAGTGTCATGTAGCCAGGACAACGATCAATCAACTTTACTTTCGTAACATATGACATTACTTATTAGAGTTGGGTGCACTCAGGGGCATCCTTAGATCGCGATATTGAAGCGTCCAATCTGCATTCGGATTCAAACTCTAGTGACTCATCCGTTCGGAAACAAGCGCGTTGTCGCTCGGTCACTACCAGGTAAGTAGGTCAACTATTTCTTACATTCGTCCATCTTCTCCTGCAATAAAAAAAAAAAACAGCAGAGGTTATGTCCCTTTAAAACGGATGTTAAAACATAACAAGTTCAAGTTACGTCATTTCGGAGGCGCGGTGGCTGAGTGGTAAAGCGCTTGGCTTCCATACCGGGGGTGTTTCGGGTTCAAATCCTTGTGAAGACTA